AACCCAAGGACAACAGGATGCACAGGAGGCCAACTTCCAGTTTGCCCCATCCGTGGTGGAACCCGGCTTTGGTTCGGGTTCTCCGTGCTGTGAGTCCCCAAGTGTGTTTGATTGGTTTCAGGGGACCGATGGATCCGTCCTCACTCTGTGGCGAGGGTAGCTGGATCTCTCTACCCTGGCTTCTTGGTTTCAATCCTTCTCCGGGCGCCCATGGATGATCCAGTGGGCCAGCTCCTGTCCACAGCCACCACCCAGCATCATTCCTGGCAGGAAGAGAAGCGCAGGGCTGCGGTCTGCCCCCCAGGGTCCCCCACCCATGTCCAATCCCATGCCCCCATCTCCACAGACAGCACAGACACTCCAAGCCCCGCTCTCCCCAAACGTGGGGTGCTGCACGCCTCCCGACTGGACTGCTGCCAGACTGGACCCTGGCAAAGGTGCACTCTCTGGGGAGCAGGAGGGGCTGGACTCCCCACCCTCTCTTGTCCCCACCACTGTCGGCGGCCACAGGGCTCCTGTGCCCACCTCCCCCAGAGCTCTGGGAATGGCAGGACCACCCTCTTGGGGGCCAGGAGGACTGCTGCCTGGACTCACCTGCGCTGTTGAAGCCGCAGCCCAGGAAGAACCCTCGGAGCTCAGGTGCCTCCCCCATCAGGGGCTTGTGGTCGGGCGTGAAGGATTCTGAAAGGGAGAGAGAGGCCCAGAGTCCCTTGCAGTGCACGCACTCTTGGGGTGGGGTCTTCCCGGAGAGGAGTGATCAGGCAGGGGTCTGCAGGTGCCCCTCCCCCCAAACCCTCTCCCCCTTCTAGGCCCTGTTCAGTGCCACTTCCTCATGGGGGCCTCCCCGCTGGCTCCTGCCCTTGTTCTCCGAGCCCCTCCATGTGTGCTGCCAGAACCAGCAGACGGTGACCTGGCTGGGTTCTGCCTGATGGGGTCCGGCTCTGTCTTGTGACCTTTGTCCTGCCGACAAGGAGCCCTTCTCTGACCCTGGAGACCACGCCGCGGCTCCCCCACTGCACCAGCGTCCTGCTGTGTCCCTGCCAGAGACTTGTCACTCCTGCCCACTGGACCTTGAGAGGGCAGGGACCAGTTTTCTCACTGCACATGCCCCGGCCTAGCACAGGGTCAGAGCCCAGTAAGTGCAGGTGCTTGATAAATGTCTGTTGAGCCAACAAAGGATCCGAAGTTCTGCGGGGGAGGAGACCAATGTCCTGCTCCGGCGGTCACCGCTGAGCCTCAGACAGAGGCCAGGACACGGTGGGACAGGAACCCTGGCTCTCTGTGGCCACAGTCCTGGATTCAAACCCTGCTTCACTCCGTCCTAGCTGTGTGGCGTTGGACGAGTCACTTTGTCTCTCTGAGCAAGGCTTAGTGTCCTCGTCTATAAAACTGGGATAGCAGAAGCTCCTTCAGAGGGCTGTGTGCTCGCCAGCCTACAGACATTCATGTCCTGGGCCTGGCCCTGGGAGGCAGTGCTGAGCAGCACATGTCCCAGCCCTCGAGGAGCTGACGGAGGGAGGGAGCGAATACTTACATAAGCAAAAAACAGACGTTCTGGTAAAGAAAATACGAGGAGCTGAGGGCCACGCGTCACAGACGTGCCGGCTGCTGCTGTTGGCACCCTAGCACCACCCCGTGTTAGATTCTAGATGAGGAAGCAGCCGGCCCTGGCCTGAGGGACCCCAGGGCAGCAAGTCTGGTGGGCCATCCTCTGCATGCAGACCAGAAGCCAGCGCCGTCCTGCTCCCTGGAGGGCAATCAGGGCCCCCACGCTAGGAGCTGAGGGGGCAGAGAGCCACGGGGAGCCTGGGCTGAGAGCCTGGCCAGGAGAGGCAGAGCTCTTAGGCAGAGCCCTAGGTGGAGGGCCTGGGTTATCAGGGCAGAGGGCAGAGGCCAGAGCAGCCATCTGGGTGAGAGACAAGGAAGACTTCAGAGAAGATGATGATGAGGCAGAAAGAGTGAGCTGAGGCTGGGTGCAGTGGCTCACGCCCATAATCCCAGTACTTTGGGAGGCCAAGGCAGGTGGATGTCTGGAGCCTGGTTCAGGACCAGCCTGAGCAACATAGTGAGACGGGATCTCTACCAAAAAATCAAAAAATCAGCCAGATGTGGTGGAGTGAGCCTGTAAGTCCAGCTACTCGGGAGGTAGAGAAGGGAGGATGGATGGCTTGAGCCCAGGATGTCGAGGCTGCAGGGAGCCACAATCGCACCACTGCACTCCAGCCTGGGTAATACAGCAAGACCTTTTAAAAAAGGGGGTGGGGGAGGTAACCTGGGCTGGGTTTGGGGATGGCCCAGGGAGCACTTTGGGAGGGCTGGAACTATTTCCAGGCCCAGAGCGGGCAGGAAAGAAGCTCTGAACAACCTCACAGGGCATCTGCGGGGGGCGCTAACAAGAGCTAGCAGAGGGGCAGCTGCAGGGAACAAGGGTCTCTTGGATGTTTCACAAATGACTCAGGCGGGTTGAGCAACCCGAGGACGCATGGGACCTCCAGGCAGCATGGCCAGGGGCCAGGCCTGCGGCTCCCACCCTGACCTTGGTGAGCTCCACCATCCTGGAATGAGAGCTCTGCCTGCCCTCTGGGGCGCTCCCTAAGTCACGGGGGCCTGGGACTTCCCTGCTCTTTTCTGGAGGCCAAAGGCCATTGGCCATGCCTGGCAAGGAGAAATGCTGATTCCCCACCAGTCTCCCATCCAGCCGACAGACCAGATCCAAGATGTCCTCGCCTGCACATCTTCCCCAGAATAGGGCCTCGTGGGGAGTACCGGCTCCCCAGGCTAATTAAAACGAGACAGAGGAAGAGAAAGAGAGAGATAGACAGAGAGACGCCTGGGGTTATCTGTGCTCCTGGGATTCTTCCGGGCCTGTGTTTCTCGCTGCCAGACCCATGCAAGCTGGGGGGGTTGCAGGGGTGGGGGCAGTGAGTCACAGTCGTGTGCTCCCACCCTGCACGCTGCCCCGGCCCCTGGGGGCTCCATCTGCTTCTCCCTGGGGCTGCACTTTGCATGGAGCCTAATCCATGAAAGTAGCCCCTGCCAGCGGCTGAGCCGATGCTGAGTGTGCCAGGACAGAGCGGGCTGGACTCTCCGGGGGGCCACAGCCCTTCTGTGCTGGGACTCTTCCCTGTCTTTAAGGTCGTCGTCCGCTCCCTGCATGGCCCGTGGAAGTCCCTGGGCCCCCTGCTTCGTGCCGCCCCACTCTACTCAAATGCTCTCTACAGCTGCTGGGCCTGACCCATGCCCTGCACCGCCCTGTGGCTTCTCGTCCCTAGGCCACCCTGCCATGTCAGTGCTCCGTCACCATCTCACAGATGCACCTACTCTGGAGGGCACCCACTCCAGTGCCCTTCACTCAAGGCACGGAGGGACTCACCAGGCTTCTGACACGAAGTTTCCCTGGGGGCAACACTGTGTTTCTCTGAACCTCTCTCCCAGCCCTGAAGCGGGGCCAGAGCTCCCCCTACCAGGAAGCAGTGGGGAACACCCGTGTGATTCTGCTGGAACCCCGATGTGGCCGAATCTCTGTGCCCACCTGGTGCTCCCCTGCCCAGATCACGTATCCGCGGCAGGCCCAGCACCGACTCGCCCTCCAGGGCCGGGCTGGGCTGCCCCCGCTCCTGGCCGCCTGTCTGTGTCCTCAGGCTGTGGCCACCCAGCCACTCCATGCCTCCTGTCAGAGCACCCACCCACAGGCTGTGGTCAGTGACTTGCATTGGGTCTCCCCTGCCAGAAGGAGGGCGTTGGCCTGAGTGGGCCTGCCTCGGGCACAAACGAGGTGCCACTTAATGTAGAATGAATGCCCTCATGAAGGAACGCTGGTGCTCTGGGGTCACTGGTAGCTCCCGGGCTGCCCCACACTCAGCTTGGGGACATCTGGCTCAAAGTCCTGTGGCTATAAATACCAGGGTGCCAAGGCCAGCTCCAGCCCCTGCTGCCTCCCAGAGAGGGCACCTTTGCCAGGGCCCAGGCCAGCAGCCTCAGCCCCACACCCGCCCCCTGGGGCAGAGCCTTCCGGGCTCCCCAGGCCAGCAGGGTGGGGCAGGGCTGCGCTGCGCTGCGGATGACCCACGTGGGACATCTGGGAGCTGAGCCCACCTTTTTGCTCCCGCCTCCTCTAGCTCAGTTCTCCTGGGGCCAGCGAGGAGGGCCAGAGTTAGGGGAATCTTGGCACAAGAGCCTTCCCCGCTGAGCTGGCCTCCAGGTGCAAGCCGCCAAGGACAGTGGGGAGGCCAGCAGCATGGGGTCCTGGCCAGGGCAGTGCTCTCTGGGAGCGGTGGGGGCTGGGGCTGGAGGCAGAACTGGGACTCACAGCTGTATAAGCCTTGCATCAGGGAAGGTCTCAGCCCTTCCACTCCTCACTCAGCCTCACAGGGTGCTGGGATGCGGCCCGCTATTCCCATTTTACAGATGAAAACACAGAATTCCAGGGAAAAGTCAAGTCTAGGGATGAAGAAGCCCAGGTGGGGAAGCCAGGACGAGCCACACTTGAGGCAGGAAGAGGCCCTGGCCTCGTGCTTGGGGCAGATGGTGGCCCTCGCGAAGCCCAGGCCTCTCGCCCGTATTGAGGAATAAAGGCCACCCCTAGCACCCAGGGCTGCTGGAGTCATGCAGCCAGAGGGCCCGGGGACAGCCCTGGATCCCCTGTGGGACACAGGCTGACCTCAAGGGGCATCACTACCAATAGTCATCAGACGAAAAGACCCACGGACGCCCACCCCAGCTCCGAGGCTCTCACTCACCAGGGCCACAGACCGTGGACTTGATTCCTGTCTTCTCCAGCACGGGGACCCGGTTGATGGCACCTGCAATGTGCTGGGTGAACACCTCCCAGTCCAGGTCAAAGAGGCCGAAGGCAAACTTGTCTGACACCTGCCAAGGCAGCGCAGGGGCAGTCTCCTTTATCCCCAAGAAGGCCATGCGTCCCCATGCAAAACCTGCCTTGTGATGGCTGCCAGGCCAGCCTCTGCTGAATCAGATGCGTTAGAGGGCTGGTGGTCACCCACACGTCCTGGCAGTTTGTCTCCCCTACCCACCAACCCATCAGCAAGGCCTGTCTGCTCCCCCTCCCCACCCCGGCCCAGGCCACCACCCACTCAGCCCTTGATGGTTGCCGTGGCCTCTGACTGGTCACCCTATTCCCCACCCTTCCTCAGCCCACTCCCCTAGATGCCACCATGCCCCTTCCCTGCTCGCAAGCCTCTTCTGGCCCCCTGCAGCTCATGATGGCCCCAACATCCTGCGTGTACCAGCCTGCCTACCTCTACCACTGGGCCCGCCACCCTGACTTCCCGCGGCTCTTTGGGAAGAGCAAAGCTTGTTTGAGCTCAAGGCCTTCATCCCTCAGTGGGGCAGTTCTTCGCCCAGATCTGGTACGCTGGTTTGTGGTCTCAGTACGGGGTTCTACTTGGATGTCCTCTCCCTAAAAAAGCCTGCCCTGACTACCCATCTAGAGGATATCCTTCTGCTCTAGTCTCTCTAGGCTGATCCTTAACCTGCTAATTTTATTCAGTGCATGATCACCTTCCAGAATTTCATTCCTTATTTGTTTGTTTGTTTGTAACAGAGTCTCGCTCTGTCGCCCAGGCCGCAGCGTAGTGGTGCGATCTCGGCTCACTGCAACCTCCATCACCTGGGTTCAAGTGACTCTTGAACCGAGGCCTCCCAAGTAGCTGGGATTACAGGTGCCCGCCACTACTCCTGGCTAATTTTTGTATTTTCAGTAGAGACGGGATTTCACCATATTGGCCAGGCTGGCCTCAGACTCCTGACCTCAGGTGATCCACCTGCCTCAGCCTCCCGTAGTGCTGGGATTACAGGTGTGAGTCATCTTGCCCAGCCGTTTGTTTGTTTGTTGTATGTCTCCCCACCAAAATACAGGCATCCAAAGTCAGGGACTTCCATCTTCGTTTCCCTCTTTCTCCAGAAATTAAAGCAGTTTTTAGCCCAAAGTAGCCACTCAGTAATTCCATGTGTGGACTAAATGCATACACACATAGAACGGGGCTGCAGGGCTGCCTTAACCCCAGAAGCTGCCCAGGGAACAGCCCAGGCCAGGGGAGATGTTGTTGCAGCAGCTGGCTGGGAGGGCAGTGTCATTTGCTGAAGGACATGGGACTTGTGTGCTCTCATGCCCTTCTGAGGTCATCACTGCACACTGTGCAGCCCTTCACTGTTGATGTTTTGAGGCAAAGCCCTCCAGCTGCCCCAGTTCTGGATTTGACTGCCTGCCAGGACCCTCAGGGTAAGAGCAAGATGGCTTTGAGCTTGGTGGGGCCAGGGGACCTGCCACTTCTCGGGTGTTCCTCTGAGGAGCTTCAGGAGGCTGGTCTTCCTGAAAGAAACCCTCTCAATGCTGAGATGCAGCCCTGACTCCCTCCCATTATCCCAGGGCCCTGGCATCTTACCTCCTCCCAAAAGATGGGGTTGGCCTCATAGCCACCCACAGACAAGGCATCCCCTTGGAGGCGGAGGTAGACAGAGGCATCGTGATCACGGACGTTGGGCATGTTCTGGAAGGCAGAGAGAGAGGCTTTGGCATCAGCCAGAACTGGGTGGGGACTTGGTTCCCCATGCCCCATGGTGGACCAGCACCTCCACCCAGGGTCACCGGCCCGAGATGGTCCTCCTCGTTGTAGGACCCTGAGGACAGAGTGGACACGGGGTCTCGAGTTACACACAGTGAACGGGTCACTGCCATTCAAGCCTCTCCTTCCCCAAATCCCACAAAATAACAGCAAAAGGGGAAGAAGGAAGAAGGAATGGATGGAGGAAGAGAGCGAGGGAGGGAGGGAGGGAAGCAAAACGTATAACCCACAAAGATGAGAGAATAGGCAGAGGCAACAGCAGAGGATGGATGGGAGATTCCAACCAACCCTGGAGGATGCAGAGTAGATGGAGGCGCGGTGAGCCTTAGCTGGGGCGGGAGGAGAGGGAGACTGAGCAAGACAAGCCAGTGTGCCCCTCCTGCCTCCTCTTGAATCTTCAGAGCTACCCCAGGTTCTTCTGCAGGGGGTAATGTGCTTGCTCATGTACGGAAGGATCTTCCCCTGGAGATGTGGGTCCTGAGAGGCTCCAGACGTGGGGAGAGTGGACTGCCATCCCCCCACCCCCCATAGCAGATTAGAGACTCTTCTGTGAGACACTGAGAGGCCCAGTGAAGGCTTGAGATGCTGACACCAGGGTCCCCCTAAAAGAGAAGGGCTTGCTGCCCAACCTTCCTGAGAGGCTCTCCAGTCCTCCCCTCCAAGCCTCCAATCAGACTGCTGCTCACTCTCTCATAAAAATAAAACCACAGGGTCAGACACAGTGGTTCACACTTGTAATCCCAGCACTTTGGGAGGCTGAAGCAGGCAGATCACGAGGTCAGGAGATCGAGACCATCCTGGCTAACATGGTGAAACCTAGTCTCTACGAAAAATACAAAAAATTAGCCGGGCATGGTGGTGGGCACCTGTAGCCCCAGCTATTCGGGAAGCTGAGGCAGGAGAATGACGTGAACCCAGGAGATAGACCTTGCAGTGAGCTGAGATCACGCCACTGCACTCCAGCCTGGGAGACAGAGCGAGACTCCATCTCAAAATAAATAAATAAATAAATAAATAAATTTAATTTAATTTAATTAAACCACAGCCCAGGTGCAGTGGCTCACGCCTGTAATCCCAGCACTTTGGAAGGCCAAGGCGGGTGGATCACCTGAGGTCAGAAGTTCAAAACTAGCCTGGCCAACATGGTGAAACCCCATCTCTACTAAAAATACAAAAAATTAGCCAGGTTTGGTGGCACATGGCTGTAATCCCAGCTACTCAGGAGGCTGAGACATGAGAATCTCTTGAACCTGGGAGGCGAGGGTTGCAGTGAGCCAAGATTGCACCATTGCACTCCAGCCTGGGCAACAAGAGTGAAACTCTGTCTCATAAATAAATAACCACAAACCATAATAAGAACATCAAGAATACAAGAAGATGGTGTATTAGTGTGTTCTCACACTGCTAATAAAGACATACCCAAGACTGGGTAATTTATACAGGAAAGAGGTTTAATGGACTCACAGTTGCACATGACTGGGGAGGCCTCACAATCACGGTGGAAGGCAAATGAGCAGCAAAGTCACGTCTTACATGGCAGCAGGAAAGAGAGAGAGCATGTGCAGGGGAACTCTCTTTATAAAACTGTCAGATCTCCTGAGACTTATTCACTACCACGAGAACAGTGCACCCTATGATTCAATTTTCTCCACCTGGTCCCACCCTTGACACATGGGGATTATTATGATTCAAGGTGAGATTTGGGTAGGGAGACAGTCAAACCATGTCAGAATGAAAGACAGTGCTATGAAAAAGGAATCTAAGATGAAGAAAGAGGTCTTTAAATGAGATATGATAGTCAAAATTTATAATTCAACAGAAGGGCCAGATAAGGCTGGGACTGTCATCCAGCGACTAGGCTAAAAGAAAAAGACTACAAAACAGAAATCAGGAGTGGAAAAAAAATAAGAAAATCAGAAGGTCCATCTTGAAAGTCCAACATCCATTTTATGGGGGTTCCAGAAAGAAAAGACAGAGAAAAATGGAGTCGAGGAAAATGTCAAAGCAACAATCCAAGAAGAGTCCTCAGATTGAAAATCAAGCATTCCTATGGAAGGGCCCAAGAGTGCCCACCAAGCCCTGGGTCTGGACAGAGGCCTGCATCAAGGCCACGCCATGGGAAACTGGGTGGTCAGGACACAACACTGGGTGGCCAGGAGGGCCATCAACAGGGGACCGCATCGCTGGAGGCTGGAAGACATGGAGCAAATTCTTCAAACGTCTGATGGATGTTTTTCAACACAGAATTCTAGATCCCGTCAAGCCATCAATCAAGTGTAAGAAAAGAATAAAGGCTTTTTCAGACATTCATGAACACAAAACATGTACTTCTCACATACTCCTTTGCAGTAAATGGCTAAAGAACACACTGTGACAAAAGGAGGAAAATAAACCCAGAAAGAATAAAAGCTACGGCTCCAGGCAGGGAGAAGTGAAGAAGGCCCTGCAGTGACAGCATAGACCACACAGTGGCCAGTCTGAAAGGGAGCGGAAGATCTGAAGGCAGCAGGAAGTCCTCCAGGGGAGGGAAATGGGACTTAGAGGCATTAGGTGGTTTATCTGATGTGTATGCATATTCAGAAAATAGTATCAATAGGTGTTTGACAGATCCTTTGACACAACTGGGGAAAAATAGTGACAGTTATGTACACACATGCAAATACCCTCAACAAAACAATAGCAAACTGAATCCAGCAACATACAAAAGGGATGATACACCATGGCTAGACTGGACATGGTGGCTCAGGCCTGTAATCCCAGCACTTTGGGAGGCCGAGGCAGGAGGGTCACTTGAGGTCAGGAGTTCGAGACCAGACCTTGGCAACATGGTGAAACCCCATCTCTACTAAAAATACAAAAATCAGCTGGGTGTGGTGGCACATGCCTGTAATCCCAGCTACATAGGAGGGTGAGGCAGAAGAATTTGCTTGAATCCAGGAAGCAAAGGTTGTAGTAAGCCAACATCACACCATTGCACTCCAGCCTGGGCAATAGAGTCTCACTCTGTCTCAAAAACACAAAACAAAACAAAACAAAACACCATGGCCAACTGGAGTTTATCCTAGGAATGCAAGGTTGGTTTAATGTATGAAAACCAAACAATGAAATACACGATATCAACAGAGTACAGGACAAAAACCACATAATCATTCCAGTAGATGCATAAGAAGCATTTGACAGAATACAACATCTTTAATGATTAAAAAAAAAAACCTCAACAAACACTTAACAAACTTGGAAGAAGAGAACTTCCTCAACGTGCTGAAGAGTATCTACAAAAACCCACAGCGAATGTCATACTTCACGGGAGAAGGATGACTGATTTCCCCCCAAGATCAGGAATAAGAGAAGGATATCCATTCTTACTCCTTCTACCCAACATTACATTGGAGGTCTTAGCCAGGGCAGCAATTAGGCAGCAAAAGTAATAAAAGGCACCCAGATTGAAAAAGAAGTAGTAAAAATATTCCTATTTGCAGATAACAAGGTCTTGTATATATAAAATCCTAAGGAACCCACTAAAAAACTACTAGCTCTCTCCTCTCTCTCTCTCTCTCTCTCTCTCTTTCTCTCTTCCTTTCTGACAGAGTCTCACTCTATCACCTGGGCTGGAGTGCAGTGGTGCCATCTCAACTCACTGCAACCTCCACCTCCTGGGTTCAAGTGATTCTCCTGCCTCAGCCTACCAAGTAGCTGGGATTACAGGCACATGCCACCACGCCTGACTAATTTTAGTATTTTTAGCAGAGACAGGGTTTCACCATATTGGCCAGGCTGGCCTCGAACTCCTGACCTCAAGCATCTGCCCACCTCAGCTTCCCAAAGTGCTGGGATTATAGGCATGAGCCACTGGGTTCAGTCAAAAAAACTAATGTATTTCTATACACTAGCATTGAATAATCTGAAAAGGAATATAAGAAATAATTTCACTTACAATATCATCAAAAATAATAAATACACTTAGGAACAAATTTGACAAAAGAATTGCAAAACTTGTACTCTAAAAACTAGAAAATACTTTTGAAAGAAATTAAAGAAGGCCTAAATAAATAGAAAGACATTTCATGTTCATGAAATGAAAGAACTTATTTTTGTTAAGGTGACAACACATCCCAAATTGATCTATGGCTTCAACACAATGCCTGTTAGAATCTCAGCTAGTTTCTTTGAAGAAATTAAATAGCTGACCCTAAAGTTCATACAGGGATGCAAAGGACCAAGAATACTCAAAACAATTTTGGAAAGGAAAAACAAAGTTGGAGGATTCACACTTCTTGATTCCAAACTTACTGCAAAGCTACGTAATCAAGACAGTGAGCTACTAAATAAGGATAGACCTACAGATCAATGAATTAGAATTGAGAGTCGAGAAACAAACCTTCTTCTTCAGAGTTAATGATTTTCAATAAGGGTGCTAACACAATTCCTTGGGGGAAAGCAGACTTCTCAAAAAATGTTGCTGGGACAACTGGATAGCCACATGCAAAAGAATGCAGTTGGACCCCTACCTCACACCATGCACAAAATTTAACTCAAGATGGATTACAGACATAAGTATAAAAGCTAAAACTATAAAAGCCTTAGAAGAAAATATTAGAAGTAAATCTTTACAGTCTTGGGTTGGGAAATGTCTTCTTAAATATGACACCAAGAGCACAAATGACAAAAGGGGAAAAAAAAGAGATGAATTGGACATTATTAAAATTTAAAACTTGTGCTACAAACCATACCATAAATAAAAGTGAAAAGGTTATGTATGACTTCTGGATTCTGAGAGAAAAAAAGAAACTGAAAAGACAACCACTGAATAGAAGTTTCAACCACTGAATAGAAGAAAATGTTCATAAATCATGTACATAATGAAGGACCTGTATCCAGAATATTTAAGGAAATCCTACGGAAAGTTTTTTTTTTTTTGAGTCAGA